TAAATGAAATTTTACTGAAGCATAATCATGCCCATTTGTTTAGATATTGTCTATGGCTGTTTTTATGCTGCAAGGGCAGAGTTGATTAGTTGAGGCAATGACCATATAAACCACAAAACCAAAAATATTTACTATCTGGCCCTTTACAGAATAAGGTTGCTAACTTCTGTTTTAGAAGAAACAAGCCCACCAAAATGCTGAAAACTTCCTCAGATTGGGTTTTAGACCCATAATCTGTTATTATTTTAGGGGTCTTTAATGCATTCAAATAGAATTTTAAAAACATTTTGCCTGGCTTTTGCAGTTGTCCTCAGTGAAAGACTTGTTCCAAAATAAGCTGTCCATAATTACTAGAAATAAGAAAACTGTGAATCTATATTAGGTTCAATGCATTAAAAATCTGAGTGGAGGGGCGCCTGGGTGGCTCAGTTGGCTAAGTGTCCAACTCTTGATTTTGGCTCAGGTCATGATCTCCAGGTCATGAGATCAAGCCCCAAGTCAGGCTCTGCACTCAGTGTGGAGTCTACTTGAGATTCTCTTTCTCCCTCTCCACCTGCCCTTCCCCCTGCTCATGTGCTCTAAATAAATAAATAAATAAATAAATAAATAAATAAATAAATAAATATTTTTAAAAATCTGAGTGGAAACTCTGTATATGCAAATGTGGAAGAGGGGGCTAGTTCTCAGAAAAAATATCTGGCTAGGATATTTTATTATTAAATCCCCAAATTGTCAGTGTTCAGAGAGCTTCTCTTTTGGGTTTGTAAGTTTTCCCAGAGAGTCATAATCTATACTCTCTTCTGGGAGATGAGTTAGAGGAATCTGGGAGATAGTGAGGGGGTCTAAAAGCTCATATATCAATGTCCAGCTGTTGTTCTACTATGCTTCATATCTACTCCAAGACCAGAAGACTTAAGGTTCACTCTCTGTATAAAGCAAATATCTATTTCTGTTCACACCAGATGGGTTAGTTGTCTGGGTGAAATGAGTATATCCAAGGACTTCATGGCTCCTACTGAGACATAGAACCTAATATTTTTTAACCCCAATCTACACTGCCAACTTTATAAGTTACTGCTATGTTGAATTCCCAAGCTTTTCTGAGTTTCCATAGGCAGTTGGATGTGAACTTTCTTTACTCTCTCACGTCAGTTACCTTCTTACTTGTCCATTTGCAGTCACAATATCAAAATTTTTGAAGGGGTAGGGGCAGAGGAAGAGGGAGAGAGAGAATCTCAAACAGACTCCATGGGGCTCGATCCCACAACACTGAGATCATGACCTGAGCCAAAATCAAGAGTTGGATGCTTAACCGACTGAGCCATCCAGGCACCCAAGCCAATACCAAAATTTTTATGGGAATATTTGATCTAGCACTGTCACTTTTTCCATTCTCCAGCTCCTTTTGAATTTATGCCTATTTTTTAAATTATTATTTTAGTGAGTTTCTTGAATAAGCAAACAAAAAACATATGTTCATTTAATCATATTTAACTGGAAGTCCTTAAATCTTTACTATGAAAGCTGCATGCCTTGGAATATATCTTCATAATTTCATTAGGCATAAACTATTAATTAAGCAATTAATAGAAATAGTAATAGAAATAGTAATAAAGCAAACTGTACTGCTTCATAGCCATAATAATTGATGAATATAAAAATATGTAAAGACATTTTTACCTAAAACATATTAAGTAAATATATTACCTAAAAATGTATTATGGGGGCTCATAATAAAATGACTCCCTTTGGATTTATTCCTTTAACCTAGTGTATTGAGTTTTTTTGCTGCACAATAAATTACCACAAACTTAACAACTTAAAACAACACACATTTATTAATTCACAGTTTCTGTGAGTCAGGCATCTGGGCATGTTTAGTTGAGTCCTCTACCTGAGGATCTCACTATGCTGCAATCCACATGTCTGTTGGGGCTGCAGTCTCACCAGAGATTCAACCGGGGAAGGATATACCTCCAAACTCTCACAGGTTTTTGGCAGAATTCATTTCCTTGAGGGTGTAGAACTAAGGGCTTTAATTTATTGCTAGTTGTCTCTTTCAACTTATGGAGGATTCTGCAGTTCTTTGCTACAAAGGCTTCTCCAATATGACTACTTACTTCATGACAGCTTGCTTCTTCAAAGTGTGAAAGGAGATTGCTGTCATAGGTCTGGAGTTTTATGTAGTGTAAGATGGAGTTTCATGTAATGTAACAATCATGGAAGTGACATCCATCATCTTTGATATTCTATTGTTTAAAAGCAAGTCATAAAGGAGGGGATTATACAAGGGCATGAATACCAAGAAGTGATGATCATGGGGCCCACCCCAAAGTCTGCCCACCACACCAACATTATAGTAATGACAAAAATGATGGATTATCATTATATTTTTCTTATGATGCTTTATACTTCTGAAATGTCTTCACATATATATGTTTGTTTCTATGAATGCATGTATTAGAGGAGCCAACACAAGCTTAAGTTGTGTTTAGTATAGGACTCAGGCAGTTCTGAGTATGCTCAGAGAATTAGTGGGACAGAATCTTCAGGGAGCCATTTATATGAAGGATGAAAGAGCCTCCTGGTAAATAAGAGATACTGAGTTCGGTTCAAGGACAACTGGACAGCACTGATGAGATGGTATGGTTTTTAAAATATACCACAGCAATGTCACTCAAACTATACCATAGCTTCAGGACCTAATAAAAGTTTTAGGAAATCTCAATAAAAGAGTGAAGAAACAAGTGAAAGGTATTTTTTTTTCTTTTAATCTCTATGGGACATTTAGAATGTGAGGCATCAGCAATGACAATAATAGTAGTGCTGATGAAAGTGCCATTGGAAACACAGCATTAGGCTGGTGACTATACCAATAGCCACCAGCAGCACCCCCACATTAGGAACGAGTGCCTTTGGACAGACATTTTTGCCCTTGGGCTTGGGTGTCACTAGCCCCCATGTAGACATCAGCACCAACCAGGATAACAGCCTGACTTGGGTGGGCTCATATTTCACTTGCTACTTTTTAGCAGGGACATTTATCAAAGACAAAACAACCTAAAAGAGGAGAGGAAATGACAGATAACCCAGAGTTAAAACTGGGGATTAATTATTGGTGCACAACTCAAATATTACAGAATGTTCTCAGAATACTCTCTGGAAGGACGTTAAGGCAAATTGCATGTCTCAAAGCATGGTACTGAAGCAGGAAAATATGGACTTTATATCTTATTCTTATATTTCCAGTTAATATTTCTTGGGAAAGAATATGTTTTGTGTATTATCTTAATTACTCTTATCATTATACTGTAAGGTAAATATTTTCATTTCCATTGTCATTTGACAGATTAGAAAACTAAGTCTCAAACAGGATAAGGAACATGTTATTGAAACATAGTTATAAATTAGCTGACCTAATCAGGGTTATCTATAAAAGACTCATCTACTTATAGCTCCTGGGACTAAGCTCAGTATCATTGTCAAATGTAGCCCAGAACCAGTATTAAGTAAAGCTGTGAAGGAAGTATAGTGAGTGACAATCTGTATTCTCCTGGCCTTTTTCTTAACTTACATAATTCTTACCCTTTTTCTTAAGTTACATTAATTCCTACCTATTCTCAATTGCTTGTCTAAAGTAAGAACCAACTCTTCTCTTAGACTTCTTAAGTATTACACAGCAGAGTTCATCTTTTCCTTTCTTCAGAGAAAGCATCTTGAAAACATTAAGTTCTCAAGTACATCAGAAGTTTGATCCTCACAACAATCTTTTAAAATTGGAAGCAAGGAAGCCATAACTACGTTTTATATATGAAGAAAATAATATTCAGAGAATTTGAAGGACTTGTCCAAGATAGCATGGTTTAAACCAATGGTTCTCAAACATCAAAGTGCAGCAAGATCACTTGAATCTTGGGGTGAGGATCTGGGGTGAGGCCCAGAAACTTGCATTTCTAATGTGATTCCAGGTGATGCTGGTGTTCCTGCTGGCTTATATTTAACTCTATTTAGCTTTTTATTCATATTTCCTTGGGATAAAGAAAATCTTTAGAAAATGAGATTCAAGAGTTTCTGGTTTCAATATAAGCCTTCTATCTGAGAAAGTAGCAAAGGCATTTATAAATCTTCTGTCTTCCTATGTGCATAGATTAACTCATCAAATTACCTGCTTGTCATCTTGGAAAGCACAATTAACCTTTTCCTTAGAAGATGTACAGGACAGGTGGCTTTTAGTGAGAAGAAAACATCCTAACTAAAAACTGCAAGGGAGATGGGATATGTAAAAACAAGCAAAGACCACCCAAATGAGAACCAACAGAAGCTTTTTATTCAGAGCCTGCTCTAGCAAGAGAGTCAGTTACCATCACTTGTGTTTGGTGGAAACTGAAAGGCAGGCAAGGCAGTGGGAAAGCTTTATAATGGACAGAAAAGAATATTTGTTGGAATATTTGTTGGAATTGAGGTCACTGGCATAGCATTGACGGAGTCACTGAAAATAGGTTAACTAGAAGTGGAATATCTCATGTGATTGATTTGAGGAGCATACTTAACTTTCTCTGGTTAGTTCTAATTGGAAGCAAGGGCAAAAGAAAAGGAAGTTCACAGTCATTGACCAACTCATAATCATTTGGGGCCAATGCTGAAGAAGTTGTGACTGGCACCTTGTGAGGTTGTGGGTCATGGTTCTACTGATTATATATGAACTGGCCATTGTCTATTCATAACTCAGTTTCTCAGGAGCTTACAGGGGTGTCTATCAGAACAGGAAGTCCCTGGCTGTAGGGCTAACTTATCTACCAGGCATAGTAGATCTTACGTTAGGGCCCATGACAGTTTCAGGAGCCTACAAAAATATTTTGATTTCTTTTGAAGTCAGAAGGAAAAAATGAGCTTTTTGATTAAAATTTTTAATGTAAAATATCAATACATTTGTCTTTATGTTAACTCAGTGTTCTAAGGATTTAAATGTTGGATATGGTAAAGAAGTTGATTATACTCACAGGTCCCAGAGAGGGGGTCCCTTCATCCCATGCAGCCTCACAGAGGAAAGCAGCAGTGTTGGTCAGGAAGCAGAAAGGAGTGAGGAGAATGTCTCACTCAGAGCCTTTACTGGGTTTCTGAAAGGAAAGAAAAGGCAAGACAAGGCAGAGTGAACAGTTTAGGACTGGCTTGTTTGAAATACTGGAAGGCTTTGGGCTATAGAGGTGGTCTCTAGTTGCCTGATACCTGGCCATTGGATGGTTTAGGACAAGATAAATATTGGCTTCGTGTATGAGAGTTAGATAAGGAGATAGTTGGGTGTACAGACTGAGGATTGGCTGGTTTGTTGTTACCATTTTTAGGAAGCAGCTGGCTCTGGGAGGAGCAGTCTGTCTTTGGGTCTGTAAGTCTCCCAAATGCCAGAGTGAGAGAACAGAAAATAAGAAAGTATAGTTACTATAATAAGACACATCTCATTTTATTGCACTTTGCCTTATTGTACTTTTCAGGTATATTTTTTACAAATTGAGGGTTTGTGGCAACCCTGCATCTAGCCAGTATTGGTATTTTTACAACATCATTTGCTCACTTTGTGTCTCTGTGTCACATTTTGGTAATTCTCACACTATTTCAAACTTCTCATTATTATTATGCTTGTTCTGGTGATCTGTGATCAGTGCTTATGTCTCATGTCTCACAGAAAGCCCAGATGATGGCTAGCACTTTTTAGCAATAAAGTATTTTTAAATTAAGGTTTGCACATTTTACTTTAGACATAATGCTATCACATACTTCATAGACCATAGGAGAGTATAAACATAACTTTTCTATGCACTGGAAAACCAAAACATTCATTTGACTCACTTTATTGAGATTTTTGCTTTATTGCGGTGATCTGGAACTGAACCCCCACTACCTCTGAGGTATGCTTATATTGGCTCTTTGATGAATGGCTGCCAAATAGGCCAAATACAGAATCTGTGAAAACACAGAACACGCATTCATGAAATACAAGTTTTGACATTTTTTGTGTTAGAAAACCTCCATGAAATCATAATGGAGGCCATTTGGGCTGCATGATCTAGGTGGAACTTCCGGGGATTAAAGGGTTTGCATGAGGAATGGAAGAAAAGCACCTAAGTAGGTAGTATGAAATGAACGGACATCACAACTTCTGACACTGCCCTATTGGGCCCATGAAACCAGCTTCCTCTTTTGTGTTGTTGTTCTCCTCCTTGTACTTATTCCAGAAAATTGGCTTTTGCATGTAGACACAATGATTTTCTGGCTTCTACATAGTTCTCCTGGTTCTTAAACTTCTTTCTTAAAACCAACCTGATATTTGTCTTGACCTCACTAGCTTAGCCACTCAGGTATTCTCTGAGCCACATGCTAGATACTAAGAATAAGAAGTGTTTGTGTTTGTTGGTTTTACAGTTGTTGTTTTTTTTTTAATGGAACGAAACCTTTCTGAAGTTGCATTTAAAATTTCATGAGTTACTCAGCATATAATATTTATTATTCCTAAAGAGAATGTTGAATTAGGTCAATTTTAATTGTGTACCTTGTTATTTTTATGAACTGTTACACTTGTATACAGTTAGGGACATATAATTTTTACAAACAAGCATAAACAAGTATAATGAGTTTTTTTTAAGAAATGTTTTATTTTGTGTTCTTTCATTTAATTTGAATCTTATTGCTTTCATATTGTAATTTATCTAGTCTCTCTTCATACATACATCAAAAATCAGTTCTAAATTAAGATACTCTAAAAATCTTCAATTCAGACACTGTGCTTTATTGTGGTCACAAAGTTTTAGTCATTGACTGAAGGCTTGAAAAACATTATTTTCTGTTTTTCTCTTGCAGCAAAAAAATTGTCAAGTTATACTTCTTTACTCTGCAAGCCTCAGAAAATATTTATTTTCAGATAAGTAGACTGGAGTTTACCCCTTCAGTAATCAAACAAACACAACACCATTTTCAACCTTTCAACTCTACTCAGAAACTTTCAGTAGCTCAACAGCCAGGTGTCACCAGTTTTTGGAGAAAGCAATTGAATATTTTAAATGTTATTAACATTCTTCCATGCAGTATCTGAAATTACAAAAAAGAGGAGGGTAAATGGAGAGTAGATATTGTAGACACTATAAACTGTTCTCTTCAATAAATGGTTTTGGGAAAACTGGACGGCCATATGCAAAAGAATGAAACTGGATTCCTATCTTACATCATACACAAAAATCAACTCAAAATGGATTGAGGACTTAAATTTAAAACATGGAACTGTAAAGCTCCTAAAAGAAAACATAGGCAGTAAGTTCCTTGACATCAATCTTGGCCATGAGTTTTTGGTTTTGACACCAAAAACAAAGGCAACAAAGCAAAAGTTTTAAAAGGTAAGACAACATTAAACATCTTCTGCTCAGCAAAGGAAACTATCAACAAGCAAAAAGGTAACCTATGGAATGAGAGCAAATATTTGCAAACCATATATCCTGTAAGAGGTTCATATATAAAATATACAGAGAATTCATACAACTCAATAGCAAAACCACAAATAATCCAATTAAATAATGGACAAAAGATCTGAATAAACATTTTTCCAAAGAAGACATATAAATGGCCAACATAGGTGCGCCTAGGTGGCTCAGTCAGTTAAGTGTCTGCCTTCAGCTCAGGTCATGATCCCAGGGTCCTGGGATCAAGCCCAGCAGGGAGCCTGCTTTTCCCTCTGCCTGCCACTCCCCCTGCTTGTGCTCTCTCTCTCTCTGTCAAATAATAAATAAAATCTTAAAAAAATAAATAAACAGCCAACACATACATGAGAAGGTGCTTAACATCACTAATTATCAGGAAAATGCAAATCAAAACCACAGTGAGATATCACGTTACACCTGTTAGGATGGCTATTGTCTAAAGAGAAGAGATAACAAATGTTGGGAGAATGTGGAGGAAAGAAAGTCCTTGTGCACTTGGTGGGAAGGTAAATTGGTATAGCCACTATGGAAAACTATATGGAGTTTCCTCAATGAATTAAAAATAGAAGTATAGAAGTACCATCTGACTCAGCAATTCCACTTTGGGATACATATGTAAAGAAAGTGTATCTCCAGGACGCCTGGGTGGCTCAGTCGGTTAAGCGTCTGCCTTCGGCTCAGGTCATGATCCCAGAGTCCTGGGATGGAGGCCCATGTTGGGCTCCCTGCTCAGAGGGGAGCCTGCTTCTCCCTCTCCCGCTGCCTGCCACTCCCCCTGCTTGTGCTCTCTCTAACAAATCAATAAATAAATTCTTAAAAAAAAAAAAAGAAAGTGTATCTCCTAGATATATCTGCACTCCTGTGTTCATTGCAGCATTATTTACAATAGCCAAGGTATAGAAACAACCTATGTGTCCATCAATGGATGAATGGGTCAAGAAAATGTGATTATCTATCTATCATCTATCTATCTATCAATCATCTATCTACCTATCTATCTATCATCTAATGGAATCTTACTCAGCCTTAAAAAGAAAGAAATTCTGTCATTTGCTACAACATGGATAAACTGGAATGGCATCATACTAAGTGAGATAAGCACACAAGGAAAGTCAAATACTGTATTTATCATTTATATGTGGAATCTAAAAAAAAAAAAAAAAAATGTAGAACTCCAAGAAACAGAGAGTAGAAAAGCAGTTGCCAGAGGCTGGAAGGTGGGGGAAATAGGGAGAGGTTTGTAAAAGGGTACAGAGTTTCATTATAAAAGTTCTGAGAATCTAAGATATAATCCGATGACTATAGTTAATAACACTCTATTATATAATTGAAACTTTCTAAGAGAGTAGAACTGAAATGTTCTCACCAAAAAAGAAGAAGAAGGAGGAAGGAAGAAGGAGGACGAAGAGGAAGAAGCAGAGGAGGAGGAGGAAGAAAAATATGTAAGGTGATAGATGTATTAATTAACTAGATTGGAGAATCCTTCCCAATGTATACATACATTTGTCAAATCATCACATTGTGCACTTTAAGAATCTTACTATTTTGTCAATTATACCCCAATAAAGCTGAAAAAAAACCTTTCCCATTTTACAAGCCCTTGTAAGTCAGTTTTTTTAAACTGACATCTAAATTTTATTTCTAATTAATACTGTGTAGCTGGGCCCCCATCTTGATTCAACCAAATGAGTACCACACCCACCTATATTGGGCTTCTGAATAACATTTTGTCTAAGAAAGTTTCACCACTTAAAATCTTTTGAAAATACCACATAAAGGAATACCAAATTTGATGATCGTTCTTTCAAATTTGCTTATCCATGAGTCAATGATTTGACAAAGACAACTAAGAAAATTTACGAAAAGCCATTAATACATCCTTTTGTCACTAAGGACCTGAGGGAGAGTTGTTTCAGGCAGTCGCTGGGGACTGGTGGGGTTGTACTGTTTTAAGTTGAAGAGAGCAAGGATGCTGAGAAAGTAGAGACAAAATGTTTAAGCCATTCCTTCAAAAAGTTTGAGGTGAAGATAAAGAGGAAATGGTTCAGGGTTGAGGATTATGTTTTTTGGGAGAACATAGAAGAATGAGTTTCTAGGTTGAGGGGAAAGTACACTGAATAGGAAGAAGGCATGGTTCCAGAGGAAGGAAATAGTCAGTGGAGCGAGGTCCAACTTCAATGAATTCCAAATATTCTAGTCATTGAAGATACAGCCTTAGAGACACTGCTGAAATATTAGAAATTAAAATACGCTAAATTAAAAAGGAAATTTATGCATATAGAGACTGAATAGAGAAAGATATTCCATATTTTTTAACACCACAAAAATGCAGACATACAAGTCTGGAGCATTTTCATAAGGTATCATTCAAGAAAAAAAAAGAGTAGAAAAGTTTGGGGTTTTTTAAAATTCACAACTATGATTTATGTAGGAATATTTTCTATGAATAATAATGAGTCTGACAATATGTTCCTAATATCTTCTTTTAAGAACTTTCTGGATTTCCTTTTTACTAGGAAACTTTTAACTTTGAAACAGCAAGTAGTGTTTTTCTCCCTGAAACCTCTGCAGTACCAGCAATTCACTGAAGTTTGATTAAAAGGACAGTTAATGCAAACATAAATCCCTTAAAATATTTAGAGCACACAAGTCTCAACCCATCTTGTATTTATAAGACAACCTTTTAAAATGAATATCTCTTAAGAAAGGAGGCTATTAGGTTGAGCAATGCCTTCTCTTCCCAATGGAGTATTAGACAAGCTGAATATATAAATCTGCTTTATGTTACTGTATCAGTGGTTGATGTTCAGTGGACTTTTGGTATTAGGACTATAAATATCCGACAACGGAATAAACATCATGTGGAAGGAAATTGACTGTAACTGAGGAAGGTGCTCTAAATAGGCCTCCATGGAATTATCTGCTCAGTCTTTGAGACTTTTGTTTCGGCTTTGTGACTTTTGAGGGTGTAATGATTTTTCTTATGCAGTGCTGGTTTGGAAGGGCTTCAGGGGTGAAGCCTGTGTCCCCATCGTCCATACTGATAGTGATCAAGCCTGTTGTTAAAGCTCATGTGTGACGTCCATCCAGAAATCTACTTAAAAATGTTAAGCCAACAATGGTGAGGCTGATATTTATAACCTTTCTACCTCCCCAATAAAATTTTACCACGTCTTCTTATTGTTTCTTGGAGGTTATAGATAACAACTGATCACGGTATACAAGCTTCCTCTTCTCTTTCTTCTCCTCCTTTCTTTTCTCCATCTCTCTCACTACACTTGACTTGGTTCACCACCCCTGCCAGGGGTGGCTTAAAATCTTCACTGTGGTTCCCGTGCTGAATGGCTATGGGTAGTGAGGACTACTTGCCCTTTGTTATAGTTGTTGTTTTTATTAATCCTTTCCAAACCAGCACTACTTTATAATCTATTTGAAAAGGCATGGAAGCGGCGCCTGGGTGGCTCAGTCGTTAAGCATCTGCCTTCGGCTCAGGTC